CCAGAGCTGAAGAAATAAAAAAGTACCTGTATTCTCAGCGTTTCCCCACCACCACCACCCCCTCGCCCAACAACCACTAGACATCAACTCTCCAGGCTCAGTGCCGGTCACACGACAAAGAAATTATAATGTGCCACTTTTTCTTTCTTAATGGATCCCTGGACTATCTCCCCAAGTAAATAAACACTGCTCTGCTTCCCTGTGTGGGTGGCTTCAGGGCATCCTGCTTTATGTCTGAGCCACAATTTATACAACTAAGTCTTCACTGTAGGTGTTGGGGTCCTCCCCACTGCAGTACACAGGGCCGCAGCAAACACCTTCCTAGGAAGGAGCTTACAAACACCTTTATTTTCTCCCTCATTAAAGTAGGGAATGGAATGGACAAGTTGGGGGACTGGTGGATAGGTTGGAACTGTAGTCTGCTACACAGAGGACAGTGGGTGCCCAGCAGGCCCCAAGCAGCTCCTGCCCATAGAGGAGTAGACCAGGGCCTCGGGACTGGCTCATTCCTGCCTTTCGACCTGTGGGGAGGACACTGAGTCCTCCTCACCTTGCTGGTGGCACTGGATGGTACCTTGGGATCTGCCCAGGCATTTTGGGGGCCTTGGGGAACTGTGATTGTCTAGTGAGGCTGATGGGATTTGAATGACTCTGAGTTACACCTTTGATTAATTCCTGTGCCTACAGGTGGCCTCAGTGGGGCGACGATCATTGATTCCCTTGACACCCTCTATCTTATGGAGCTGAAAGAGGAGTTCCAGGAAGCCAAGGCCTGGGTGGAAGAGAGCTTCCATCTGAATGTGGTGAGTCAGAGCCCCTGTGGTGTCGGTGACCAACTTTGCCCTGAGATCTGTGACCCAGAGGCATCACCCTGCCCATGGCTGCACTGCAGAGCACTCCCAGATCCAGGACTGCAGTTCCTGCATGCTGTCCCCCCTTAAGAACAGCCTTGAGGTGGTTCATCCCCCGAGACAGGCATCCTCCCTGGGAAGTAAGACAGCCACCATCATCCCTTCCTTCCCCATGAGATTCGCTGCAGCTCATCCCAGGCCCACTACTCCCAGCCAGGGCTGACTCTATGCAAAGCAGCAGCAGCAGCACAAGGAGGGAAACCATGGCCCAGTCTAGAGTTGCTCCGGCCTCGAGCTCCCAGTGCTGCTCTCTTGAGATGGGTATGGAGCGGCGACTTGGCAGAGGCCCCCAGCCAGCTGAGATCCTCCTGGTTTCCATCCTTACAGGGGTCACACGCAAGGCCAGGGCCTCACAGGGTGGACAGCTATGTGTCTGAATGGCCCAAAAGCCCTGTAGGGCAGCTCTGTCCCATTGATCTCTTGGCGCAGACCAATGTAGTGATTTGTGCTGGCAGCCTCAGCTCACTGCCAGGAGAGGCCACATTTGTGGATTTGGGGAGTGAGAAGTGGAGATGGTAGGAGGGGAGGAGGTTCACAGCCAGATGTGTTGCAGGGTTCTGCGTCACTTATTCCACCAGTGGCAGGTCCTAAAGCACAGGGTGCTGAGGACAGCTCCTGTAGCCCTGAAGGAGGGAGGCCTTCGCCTCTGAAGGGCCAACTTGCCAGCACAGAGCTGGGCGGAGAGGACACTACACAGAGGAACGCCCTAGGGTGGGGCTGGGAAACAGCACTCGGCCTCCCTGGTACTCAGGATCCACACTGTCCCGTGGGAATGACAAGGACCGCAGCAGCAGCAGTGCCCAGGCAAATTGGCTTGTTGTACAGATTAAACACAACAGAAGGTTGTAGAAACATTTAATGACACTAAAATGTCTGGGCATCCTCATCATCATAATTCCCAGGATTATCCTGAGGCTACCTGTGATTCCCAAGGGTTTGTGTGAGCCCCGGGGAGTTGAGAATCCTCTGGTGCCCTCCTCTGTCGTCCATGGCACCTTGTCCCTCCATGCACTCCTTGGCTCCTCTGTGTGGAGTGTGGACAGCAGGGAGGGCCAAGGAACCTGGGGACACTCAGTGAGCTGAGAGAGAGTCCCTGGAAGAAAGCAAGGGAGGGTCGCCTTTTTGAGCTGTGACTGTCTTTGCTGAGAAATGGGGATGACCTCGTGCAGCATGGGGAGGCAGGCAGGTGATCAGCTTTCCCTGTGCCTTGCTGATGGAAAAGTCATAGATTATTAAGGAATGGTTGCTTCTATCAGTAATACAAATGGTGATCGAGGAGAGCCCCCTCAGGTGGAGGCCACACCCCGCTCTGGGCAGGTGTCTTACCTGCAGCCTGTGTGCTGTGGGAGTAGGTGTCAGCCTGCTCTACAGATGAAGAGACTTCGGGCAGGGAAAGGTAAAATATCTTGCCTCAAGTCCCCTAGCCACTGAAGTGGCCCAGGTGGGATTTTTAACCTGAGCCTTGCCCTTGTCCTGATGCCCCTACACCCCTGGTTTGTGGTCCCAGTTTCAGAAAGAACTGAAATGATGAAGGCCAGGTGTGCATGTGCCCTGCAGGGCCAGAGCGGAGGTCTGGGAAACGGCAGGCCAGTCCAGCCACGCCTGCCTGCACCTCCCCTCAGCCTGACCCTGTGCTGTCCACCACCCCAGGAAAGGCCTTCCAGTTCTCTTGCTCAGCCAGGTTGGGGAGGTGGCCTAACTAGAGGAGGATTTGCCTCCCCCCAGGCTAAGCTCCAGCCAGCCCCTCCCTACCAGATGGGGGGGGGGGTGTCCTAGAGCTCCTTGGGGCGCAGCCAGGCATAGTTTTGCTATGATGGCCTCAGGCAAAGGCTAGGGAAGGAAGCCAAAGCCTGTGGTTTATTTGGAATGTTGTAAATGTGTAGTGGCCCTGGGCCTGTGCTAAACCTTCTCAACTTTTGCTAGGAAAACTGAGTATGACCTGGTTCACTGGGGCACCCCAAGAGCAAGGTTGTAGGGCAGGGGCAGGAGGAGGGTGGCTGGTGGCCTCCTTCAAGGGCCTGGCAGCTCTTGGAGTCCTGCGGGCTTCTCACTTACAAGTGTCCTACTGTTCCCTTCTCCTCCTTCCTGTCCTGCAGAGTGGAGAAGCGTCCTTATTTGAGGTGAACATCCGCTACATTGGAGGGCTCCTCTCAGCCTACTACCTAACAGGAGAGGAGGTGAGTGGCCCTTGGAGCCCCAGGACTGTCTGGGCTGGCAAGAGCTTCAGAGATATCCAGTTCTGCCCCCTCCTCTCACCAATGCCAAAACAAGGCTTTGAGGTGGCCAGGCCTGCCTTGGGGGAAGGGCAGCTGAAGACCCCTCCTCCTCTCTGCACCTCAGTTCCTCCATCCAGAGGAGTCTGATTGGTTCCTTAAGCTGTTAGTGACTTTTCTAAGGAAAACAACTACATCTAAAAAAAAGAAAAAGAAAAAAGAAAACAACTACATCTGGTCAGACCCCCACACATGTAGCACCTGGCAAGCCTCAGCTGGTTTCTACAGGTGTTGCTTCTAAGGACTGGCAAAGCGAAAGCCACTGTCCTTCACCATTCTACCGGTGGGGCCCTGGCTTTGTCTTTCTCCACAGTCACCTTTGCTCTCCCCTCCTGGGCCAGACACTCACTGTCAGTCCCAAGGGGGCTGCAGGCAATGGGCCAGCCACTGCTAGCCCCAGGCTGCGAGCTCAAGGCCTCATTCTGGTGAGCTCTGTTGGCTTCCAGCAGGAGGGAAGGCAGAAGGCCTGGACCTGGGTCCACCCACACTCGCCACTTGCAGCCACACCCCTTCCCCAGCCTGGGTGACCAGCAGGCTCTTGTGAAATGGGACGTGAGGTCAGCTTGGCCAGTGCTACTGCCTCCAGAACTCATATTCTTTGCTGCTAGAGACCTCTGAACAACATGGAAGGAAGGGAGGCTTATTCATCCCATATCGTGAGCTCCACTGGCAAGGCTGGCAGAGTCCCTGAAACACAGGTCATCAGTCACAATCTGCCACCTGTGACCCAGACGGTGGCTCTGCCTAGCACAGCTGCCACTCTGAAGCTGGCACCCCAGCCTTTCCCGTCCTGCTCCCCCTCGGCTCAATCTACCCTAAGACAAATAACTATGCCTGCCTCCCACTGCCTGGAGCCGCAAAAAATCCTTCCTCCCTCCACCACTGCTGTCCAGAAAGCCATTTCCACCTCCCTTCAGCTGTTGCAGCAGTGGTGGAGGGAGGAAGGATTTTTTGCGGCAGCATGCGCAAGCTTTATCTCTCTAGTTGCTTCAGGTCACTCTCCATCCGGTACAATCTCCTCAGCAGAGATTACTGCTTGTACCAATTTGTCCAAGAAAATTGTAGATGGAAGCCCTCAGCTTGGAGCCACCCAGAGCCTGAATCTTATTTGATAACCCCAGGACCGGAGTGTGACAGAAGTTGCAGAGACCGACAGGCGTGAGCTTGATAGACTTCACCCAGGCTCCCTGCTGCTGTGGCCAAGAGGATGGCTTGCATTTGAGGAGAGGGGATGCTGCTTGGGGCTACAGGGTTGGCTTGGGGTCACAGATTCAGGAAGAAGCTGGTAGCTCCTCAGATGACCCACTGTCCTCCCCTGCCTTCTTTAAGGGCAGCTGTGGTTCTGAGCACTTGACTCTCTAGGAGGGACCCGGATATACACTCGGCAGGTGGCTGTAGACAGGGGCACATGTGACTGGGGAATGGGCTCTAAGAGAGACCCAGACAGCCTGTGCCTGGAAGGCAGGCTCTGTGCCTATCCACACAACCCTACCTGGGCTGAGCACTGCAGTTCACCAGGCAGCAGGCCTGTCATTTCTGGTGTGCCCCCCACACACACACCCCAGTTGACTGACCCCAGACACTATCCCTTTCTCCCTCCCATGGCTGCAAGCCCCAGCGCAGCTCTCCCCGTCAACATAGGAGAACCACCCGCCCTCAGAGGCCCCAAACCCACAGCCCAGTTGAGAGGATTCAGAAATTGGTCCCCACTGCATCCGCTAAACAGCTGCCTCAGCAGGGTTAGTTGGTGGAGGAGGGCTCAAGAAAGCTTTGTTTGTCAGCAAACTGGATTGCCCCAGAGCACCCCAGAGCTCAGAAGTAAGAAGACAGGCTGTTTCCCCATGAACACTGTTGCTTAGGGACTTGCAGCTCCTCTCTTGAAAAGAAATAACCTGTACAATCCTCTCTCTGTATCCCGGGATACTGAGTCTGAGGGCCTCTCTGGAAATCAACTCTACGATATCCAAGCCATGATGCAAAATGGCAGGGTGCTTGCACAGAATCTGCAAACGTCCTCCATGTACCTGAAATCATCCCTAGGTCACTTATAATCCATAACACGAAGTAAATGCCCTGTTCTGTATTGTTTAGAAAATGATGAGAAAGGAAGTCTATACAGGTTCAATACAAATGCAGCATTTAAAAAAAAAAAAAAGTATTTCCAGTCTGCAGTTTCTTATTCTATGGATGTATAAGGTTACAGATGGCCACTGTGTCAGGGTTTTTACTATGAAAGCAGTTGCAAGTGGTGTGTTCCTGTACTCAGTCTGCTCTGAAGGCTGAGGCAGGAGGCTCGCTTGGGCCAAGGAGCGCTGAAGCCAGCAGGGCACCAGCTATAAATAAATATGTAAACTGCATAGAGAAAAGGGCTAAGCTATAATCCCAGCATTCAGGAGGCTGAGGCAGGAGGATCGTTGCGAGTTTGAGACCAGCCTGGGCGACAAAGTGAGCTCAAAGCCAGCCTGAACTGCACAGTGAGACCCTATCTCAGAAAAAAGAAGAAGAAAAGAAATAAGTTAGAAGAAGAAAATAAACATCAACCATCAATTCTCCGCCCCAGAAGAACATGACTGATATTTTGCATTTTGGTGCATTTCCTTCCTTTTGATATATCTACATGTAAATAATTTTTAGAAGTTGAATTACATGATTGTGAAATATTTTTCTCTTCATATATTATAAATTTTTTCTTTGCCATTAAATATTCTTCTACAACATCATTTTAGTGGCTGCATGGTGTTCCATGGCATGAAAGCCATAATTTAACTACTTCCCTATTGTTTGATAGAGCATTTCCATTTCACCCCCCTTTCTTCTACACGATATTGCAATGGCTATAAAGTTAAAGCTTTACAACATTAATGATTATTTATTTCCTTAGAATAAATTGCTAGGCTGGAAAGTGCTGAGTCAGAAGGCCAGACGTCCTTTGGAATCAGACTGGCATTTCAGAGCGACGGTTTGAGAGGACTATGCCCCGGGCAGGGCCCCTGAGGCCTGGCACCCCTTCTGAGAGTGGTATCCTGTAAGGGTTTAGGGCAAGCCGTTCACCTCTCCAGTCCTTCCTGTGAAATGAGAACCACAAGCAACACCCCAGCATCACAGCAAAAGACCCTTATCCCACTTTGACTGGGCAAACTTGCCCAGGAGGTCGTGGTTTCTGGAACCTGGATTGAGGGCGGCCTCGGCTCCTTATCCAGTATTCTATCTACACTGTCCAAATACCTTGTATCTCCCATGCCCTCAGTGTTAGCTTTCCATTGCTATAGCAAATTACCCAAGATAATCAACTTACAAGGAGGAAAGGCTTATCTTGACTCACAGTTTCAGAGGTTGGGTGGCCCCTTTGCTTTGGGCCTGTGGCAGTGCAGAACATCATGGCAGGTACAAGTGGTGGAGGAGACCTCATGGTGGCTGGGAAAAAGAGACAATGGAGCCTGGTCCCAGAAACCACAGCGGTGAATGATTTATAGGGAATATTTAGTTTACAGCCTTCTGAAGGGGGCAACACTATCTTCATTTTATAAACAAAGAAACTGAAGCTCAGAGGGAAGAAGTGTGTCCCCAGAGGGTGACTGCAGAGCCCCGCACTTCCCACTTGGGGTCTACAGCCTGGGTGGGGTCACCCTGCCAGGGGCAGCCCAACCACAGCTCCCAGCCTGGACTCAAAGCCTGCTGACCCTTGCTTTGCAGGTGTTCCGAATAAAGGCCATCAAGCTTGGAGAGAAGCTGCTGCCGGCCTTCAACACCCCCACGGGAATCCCAAAGGGTGTTGTAAACTTCAAAAGGTAGGGCGCTCTCTCTTTCCCCACTGTGGCTGTGTGACACTGTGGCCATCCCAGGCATGGGGACAGTTGCTCCTGCGTGGCCATCCCACAGCTGCCCCCACACCTCCCCACCAAGGCAGCAGGAGCCCAGCGCACATCGTTCCCTCCCCCACAGGCAGGTGCCCAGAGCTGCTAGGGGGTCTCAGGACTGTTCCTGGGAATCCTGCTCTCAAGGAGCCCTCGGCCCTATCCCTGAGCTGTGTGCCACTACGTTCCCAGCCACCAGGAGTCATCGGTGGCCATCTTTGAGGCCCTCTGACACAGCCAAACTACACAAAGCCTGCAGCGGTTCCATTGTACCGGCCCTGTTCCACATCCTAAAGTGAGCCCTTATTGTAGGGTGCTCACCCCACAGCAGCTGCAGCCAGCACTGGAGAGGGGCTGGGCCCCGGCTGGCACAACCGTAGCTCCCTCTCTGCCCTGTGGCCCCACCAGCTCCCCAGTCCTGCTGTGTCCTGCAAAAAGCGGGCTTCAGTTCTTGGGTCCCGGCCATCTCACTGTGGTCACAACTCTTGACTCCATTTCTGCACTCACTGATCCTGAGAGTCGTGGCCAGCTGCGGGACTCAGTGCTGTGCTCCTGCAGCCTCCCCCTGGCCTGGGACAAGACCTCCCTGGGCAGCCCTGGCTGTGCTCCTCAGAGCAAGCCTCCTCCCACACGGTCCTGGCGTGCCTGATGAGGGAGTCGGGTATTTTTAGGCTGTTTGTGTCTGCCGTGCTGTATAGCTACGTACACAAATGCATATTTCCTGGCAACATCTTGCTTTTATCTTCTGTTGCTAAAAATGGGAAGGCAACAAGAATGGTACAAACTTGTGTGACTGAGTTTGCTCCTTGGAGGGCACCTGCTGGTGGGCACTAGACCCACCTGCTACCCTGCCCAGTGCTGCCTGGCAGCCGTGGGACCTGGGACCTGCAGGAGCCCCTGGAATATCCAAGGCCCCCGCACCTGAATCAGTCTCCCTGGCTCTCCCACAGGACTCAGAGACACCCAAGCGCTCTGCCATCCATGCAGATGGATGGCAGGGACTAGGTCCACTTGCTTGCATCTGTCACACGCATGCTTACATTCGTGCGCAGGCACCCACGTCACACACAAAGGCACGTGTACGCAGCTCACCCCTGCCACACCCAGATGTGTTCATCCATAGCCCCAGCAGCCATGCCGTGTGCACCCTGTGCTGCGCTCACATCAGGAGCACCCGATGTGGGTTCTTCCTTTTTAACCTCACAGCAAGCACAGGGACTCCATTTTGCCACTGAAGAAACCGGGGCTCAGAGAAGTGTGGTAACTGACCTGAGGCCACACAGCAGCCAGGTGGAGTTAGAATTAGAATCTAGCTCTGTGTGACTCCAGAGTTAATGATACCCCCACCTGCACCCCCCACACAGAGAAGGCATCAGGGGGCAGCCTCCTGCCCGGGAGGGAAGGAAGGAGCCAGGCTGCAGGTTCACCTGCCCTTGACAGGCTGAGAGTGGAGGGAAAGGAGGTGGAGCCTCCTGCCAGAGGGGGCATTGACCCGCAGAGCTGCTCAGGGGAGCGCTGAAGCCTGTCTCTGGGGTGCTGCTCAGAACACACGGCTGGCCAAATGGCTCGGCGGAATAAAGCACCTGCAAGCAGGTGCAGGGGCCGGGGTTCGATCCCTGGGCCTGCCGTGCTGGCCCCGTCCCCGGTGCCCACTGAGACGCCAGTTGAGACTGGGCTTGGTGGCGCTTGCCTGTTGTCCCAGCTCTTGGGAGGCTGTAAACAAACAGATCACTACGAGTCCGATCTAGTAGTAAGACCCTGAACACCCTATAAACCCTTCCCTAAAATATAAGAGGAAAAAAAAAACTTCAAAAGTCAGAGCACATGGATTTGGGGCACGGATCCTAAGATTTGGCTTGGACTTAGCCCTACTGACTTACCATGTGACCTTAGAAAAGTGTCTCCACCTTTCTGAGCTTAGGTAGCCTCACCTGCAATAAAGATCATGGTATCTACCTCCATGGATATGCAGTAAAATAAGATACCAAAGCCGCCTGGCCCATATTAGGAATATATTAACAACAGTAACAAACAACAAATAATTTACATGTGCATAATTACACAGTGATAAAAATAACAATAATTTCATGCATAATTTATACTTCACAATAACTATGAGGCATGGGTACTGAATTGGAGAGATGAGGAAACTTGAGCTTTAGGGACATGAGCCACCCTTCACCAGAGGTACCCACCTGGTACCTGGAGGGTGCTGGGTAAAGCTAGGTGAGGGAGGCAAGGCACCCAGCCACCACCCGCCCACCTGCCCTGCTCCACCACAGGCCGTGGGCTGGGCTGCTGAGCCGATGAGGGCGTGAGAGGAGAGGCCCAGGGGGTGCAGGGAATGAGGACAGAAGCCGATAGGGTGCCTGGTAGCTTTTCACTCTTTTACTTTGAATGTCCCCTGGAGGCTGTAAGGATCAGTGCCTCCGGAGGCCCTCTGAGTGCCCAGGCACCCTTTGCACTGTAAGCTGGAGGGAGAAGTTCCCCCTGGCCCAGGGAAGAGGGTGACAGGATGGGGGAGGGGGCAGCTCCCTCTTTCCCACTGGGAGAGCTGGGGCTGTTTTAGGTTAGAGACTCTTGAGCTCGACTGTGAGGCCAGAGGTGCTCCAGCTCTCCTCTCTGGCACTCCACTGCCTCCCTGAACTCGGCTTTCTCCATTACACACGGGGATGAATGGTGCTTTACCTGGGTCATTAAATGGAGTAATGACACAGACCGCTTTCCACATGCTGAAGGTACTCCGTGAGCAGGAGCCCGTCTGTTTCTTATTGTCTGGGACATATGTGCTCCTCTCCCCCAAGTTAATGAAGTACCCCAGACACAGAGACAGGGTAAAGGGGACTTCTGTCTCTACATTTGTTGAAATCCCTCACTCCTCTCAACCCCCGAGTCTGTCTGATCTGCTTCTGTGAGCCACGAGGCTGGTGAGCTTGGAGAGGACAGCCCCAGCCCAGAAAAAAATGGTGCCCTCAGGCAGCAGGCAGGAACCTCCCCACACCCCACCTAGTTAAGTTCCTTTGGATCCTCCACAGGGAGCAGAGGGTCATCCCAAAGCCCCCATCTGAGGACTCTGAAGTGCCACAGTGGAGGAAGGTCACTCCACCTGCCTGTCTCCACCTCTGTCCTCCTCAACCTTCCTTCAGAGTCCCTGTCCCCCTGGTTGTCCTAAATGTCTGACAGGAAAGATAGTTGTGATATATATGAGGAAACTGAGTCATAGAGCAGAGAAGCAGCTTGCCCAAGGCCACCCCCACTCTGTACCCTCCTCTTAAACCTACAAAGCCTCAGACCTGGGGACTGGCTAGAAGCTATTACCCTCTCCTTGTTGCACAGATAGGAAAATTGAGGTATGTGGGATAAAGTGGCTTATCTGGGGGAACCAGTTGACAGACAGTCAACTCTCACCTCTGGAAAGCAAATGCTCCAGAAAAGGAGTATCTGGTACAAGATCACGTGGTACCAGCAGTGCCCTGTGGTGGTCAGCATGAGCCCTGGCCTCAGAGGCCCGCCTGGGGCCCCAGCTGCTGCCCTGGCTAGGTGAGCTCAGACAGGTGGCATCACTGCCCTGGGCCTGGTTTCCTCATCTGAAGGGGTCACTATCACATCCAGCCAAGGTCCCAGCTTTGTGGTAGCCTCAGCCCAAGGTGACTATGGGAACCTCACCACGAGGGCTGTGAGAAGCACCACATCCCAGGCAGGAAACCTGCCCTCCCAGCGCCAACTGTGTTCTCTCTGAGCCCCCGCTTTCCTTTGGTCCAGGAGCTGCAGGGCTGTGGTCACAGCACAGTTGCCTTCCTGCCACATGCAGGTCCAGGAAATCCCAGGCCAGGAATTGTGTGTCCTTGGAAAGCCCTGGCAGATGGGGAACAGGGAAAGGGCCAGTTGGGGCTCCATGAACTGTTTCTCTCCCACCAGATCTGTGGTCTCAGCCAGAGGATGGCAGCAGAGTGTTCTATGGATGGACACTCTGGTAACCCCGACTACATTAGCAGTGTCTCCTGTAAATTTATCCTGCTAGATTTTGAACGCCTAAGTCTTTCAGGAGCAGCTTGTTGATAGAAACAAAGCATATGTGAGTCAGGCCTGAGTTCAAATGACCTTCAGCAGGTCGCATCATCTCCCCAGCCTCAGTGTCCTCATCAGCAAAGTGGGGCCGGAGAGGATTTCTGGAGAACACGTGGCGAAAGTTCCCAGCACAGTGTGTGGCACATGACCCATTCCCCACCGCCCAGCAGCTGCATTTGCTCCCAGCAAAGGAGCCTCCTGCCCGGTCGGGAGGGGTGGATGTGACCTGGGCTGCTGCTTTCTTTTCAGTGGGAGCTGGGGCTGGGCCACGGCAGGCAGCAGCAGCATCCTGGCAGAGTTCGGATCCCTGCACTTGGAATTCTTACACCTCACTGAGCTCTCTGGCAACCCCATCTTCGCAGAAAAGGTAAGTGTGCCCTCCCCCAGCTCCCTCCCAGGACAGCTCCCCACCTTCTCCCCAGACAGCAGGAGGAACATCTGCTGTCATAAGGTCTTTAAAGGCGCTGAGTGTGTGGTCCTTCCCCACAGTTAGCAGGGGAGAGGCTGGGGGACCAGGATGGTTATCTGTTGAGAAGCTGACTGTGCCACAACAGCAGGCAGCAGGGAAGGGAGCACAGGCATCGCCAGGACCCTGGAGGGTGAGAGGAGGTTTGCAGTATCGCACATCAGCTCAGTGGTAAATCTGTGAACTGTGAAATCTGGAGAAGGTACAACCGAAATCTAGGCACCGCCTGGTGTTGGCAGAAATTGGCCACCATGCATGCATCCCCTTTCCAGGGACATTTAGCTTTTCCACGGGAGATGCGCCTGCCTTTTCCTCCCAGATGCCTGGCTGGCTGGCATCAGTAGCATACTGGCAAAGTGATCCCTCTGCACAGCAGATGCCTGCCTCTGTCCCTTCTCACTCATCCCCATATCTAAGGCGGCATGGGTTCTTGGAGGTAGGCTTGGGCCAACATCCAGTGACAGCAGCTGGTACTTGGCCCTTCCGGGAGGCCCTCCAAAGAGGTGGTTCCTCACTGAAGCATCCCAGAGCAGGCCCCCCGAGGTGTCTGTAGGTCTGTCCCCAAGCCCAAAGGAAGCAGTATGCACGCTGCCTTTGGATGATGCTCAGGATCCACAGCAGTGCTCCCTCCTGGAGTACCCCAGGGAGACAGATGCCCCCAAGGAGAGCCTTTGGGTCTCCCCAGTGGGAAAGCCTTCTCTCTCTTCAGGAATGCCAGCCTCCTAGGCCAGTAAGGAGGCTGGGGGCAGGGGGATGGATTCACCCCTGTTCTCTATGGCTCCCTATCTGGTGTTGCTAGCTGGCCTCTGTCTCACTCAGCACAGTGGGGAAGCAGATCCGCCTACCTCACCCCAGGCCTGGGAGCCTGTGTCCTCATACACATCCCAGGGTTTCTTCCGCCGGCTTGGGGACCACTGTTTATTTAGCATAGGAATCCACCAGATTGTCCTCCAGATCAAGAACTTCTTGATCCCCGCCTCTGATGTGGCACTCACTGCCACCCTCCAAGTGCCCACTCTGGCATCAGCCCTTTGGGCAGAGATGTTTTCCTCCCATTGAGAGGACTCTGCTCCCCTTGGGAAGCCCAGGGTCTAAGTATAATCTTACTGCCTGCTGCTCTTGTTTTCGGGTCCTTTGCCCACCCCTAAGCCCCTTACCACCACCTTTCTGCTCCCCTGCCCTAGAGCAGGACTCCTCCAAGATGCCCTGAGAATTCCAGAGTGACCAGGACAGGGACCACATGCTGGCCCTGGGTAGCTGGAACAACAGTCACCACTGCCTGAGCAGCTGCTGCATGCTGGGTACACTGTAGTGGCTCTAGCCCCTCTATCCCAGCAACCAAGGAGGTGTTCTTCCTACTGTCCCCATTCTACAGAGAAAGAAACTGAGACTCGGGCCAAGCAATGTGGCCAGGGCCATCCAGCTGGGGAGCCATTAAGCTTGGATTCAAGCCTACAGCGTTCTGTCTCTTCTCACATCAGACAGGAAGAGCAGGCTGCAGGCTTTTCCTCTGGAGTCCATCCTTCTGTCTCTGTCTGTCTCTACATTTGCATACGCGGGCTATTTTCATCCCCCATCACACCTCCCACAGAGGCGATTATTGGCAGTCAACAAATTGGCCCAAATTCTAGAAGCACCCGCACCCTCCAGGGGAGCTAATTTAGCCTGCTTCACTGCTCACCACCAGGACAGCACAGAATAACTTAGGAACAAGCACATTCCTGTCCCCAGAATGGACTCTGTTAACATAAACGAGAAGGAAGTCCAATGCAGCAAAGCCAACTGCCGTCTCCTAGAAAGAAAGCTCTGCCGCTGAAAGGTTTCTCCTCTTGCTCCACACCTTTAGGTTAATCCGCTAGCGGTGTGGCCCTGAGGCTTTCCTTCCCCAAGCTCCTACCCCGGGGGGACTCAGTGCCCTGCCAGAGCAGAGCCCATGGAGAAAGCCCTCAGCTCCCCCTCCCACCTTCACAGTCCCAAAGGCTGTGCATCAGCATCCACTTGCTCCAGCTGGGGCAGCCTCTGCAGCATGTTACCGTGTGGTCACCGTCCAGAGCAGACCCAGCAGCCACTCCATGTTGGGAGAAAACATGTTTATCCACAGGTCCAGGTTGAAGGAGCTGAGAAATGCTAACAGTTCTTCTCTTCATCATTAAAAACCTGAGATGCCCATGGTGGCGTGTGCCTGGAAGTCCAGCTCTTGGGAGGCTGTAAACAGGTGGATCACTGAGTCCAATCTAGTAGTGAGACCCTGAATACCCTGTACACCCTTCCCTAAAATGCAAAAATAATAATAATAATAGTAATAAATAAATAAAAACCTGAGATGCCAGTTAGGGAGTAGGGATATTGGGGTATTCAGGAGTCCAGGCTTGTCCATTGCAATCTCTCCTGAGGTGTCTGATAAGTTAATATGTAACTAGGTTGAACCATATAGAAGGGTCAACTTGTGACCAAAATTTGTTTAATTATCTAACATACATTTTTGGTATGATGAGAGCAATTAAAATCTATTCTCAGCAATTTGTAAGAATGTAATACATTGTTACTAACCAGAGTTACCACAGGACAGATCCCTGGATCTCAGTCCTCCGAACTAAAATTTGTATCCCTTGGTCCTAGTCAGCGCCTAGTCCTCCTACCCCACCCCCATCCTTGGTAGCCATCCTCCGACTCTACTTCCATGAGTTCAGTTTCATTGGATTCCGCCCTCAAGTGAGGTCACATGGTGTCTGTCTTTTGTTCAACCAACCATTCTCCTGGTTCATCCATGCTATTCAAAAGTTGCAACATTGCTGGGGTGTGCTGTAATCCCAGCACTGGGAAGGCTGAGGCAGGAGGCTCACCAAGAGTTCCAGGCTAGCCTAGGCTACATAGAGTTCAAGGCCAGGCTGAATTACAGTGAGGCTGTCTCCAAACACGAAAGACTAAGCAACATTTCCTCTTCTGAGGCTAACTGGTATTCCGTTGTGCACACCCTACCTTTTCCTTTGCCCATCCACACACTCAGCACTCGGATTGGTTCTGTGTCCTGGCTCGGTGGATGGTGTTGCAGTGAACGTGGGAGTGTAGCTGTTTTCTTTGACATATTGATTTCGTTTCCTTTGGATATATGCGCAGTTGTGAGATTGCTACATTTGACCATTTCCGGCCTATTTAAAAGGCAATTTTGGTCAGGATAGCACAGCAGTCTAAAGTGCCTGCTTAGGCACGCTTAGGCAGGTGCAGGGAACTGCAGTTCCATCCCTGGCACCACATGCCACACCAGCCCCACTTTCAGGGTGGGCTGAGCCAGCCCCTCCATAAATAAATAAACAAATAAATGGCAATTTTACAAAATGCTTACAAATGAACTGTTGTCACTTCTTCAACCCCCAAGAAAGGTCTGCCCTCAAAAGAGCAAAATCTGCGGTGGGTCTGAGGTGGTGCTGGCACCAGACAAAACAGTCAGTGGTATGGTGGCCGGGCTCTGTGTGTGTGCCCCGGGGTGAGGCCAGCTGACGCCCTGCAGGCTGGGGCCTGCAGTTCCTTGCATGGCTTTTCTTCCTGCCTGTGAGAACTGTGTCATATGTGAATCTAAGCCAGCTGTCTCCTGTCCCCAGAGGGCGGGGATCAGTTGGCGTCTTCGGGAAGGTGAAGGTGTCCTGTGTCTCTCCACAGGTCAGAAACATCCGCAAAGTCCTCAGGAAGATCGATAAGCCCTTCGGCCTCTACCCCAACTTCCTCAGCCCTGTGAGCGGGAACTGGGTGCAGCGTGAGTAGAGATGCCACATGCTCCCTCCTCAGGCTCCTGTCAAGCTTCCTGAGCCCCAGCCCAGGGCTAGCACCTGCCTCCCCAGCACAGGGAGGGACCTTCCGCTGTTACTGCCCCCGCTGGGGTGGATGTAACAAAGTCCTTCCTTAAACCCACCCCACCCCGTTCTCCAGCTGCCATCCCATTGGTGCCCACTGTGGTCTCCGTCTTTGTGCCCCAGCCTGCAGGAATGTGGTACCACTGTCCTCACTGAAAAAGGCTCTGCCTCCTCTCCCAACCCCTTTGGTCTGTCCCCTCACTTCAAACTCTAATTTTTAAAAACAATTTTAAGCAGAGCCTAACAATAATGATGTAAAAATCATTAATTGACCACTATCCCTTAAACCTTTAAGAATCAGTCCCTGAACTCTCACATGTGTCTGTCTGGAGGCTGGACTTTGAATTGCATAGCTGTTGACCATGCGCCCCACCCATGACGCAGTGAGGGCTGCAGGGGCAGTGCTGGCAATCTCCGGGGCCCACGTAAAGCACACTCTACAGAGAAGCTCTGGCAGAAGCAGGCCACAGCCCTAGCTTTGCCCTCTTGACCAAAGCCTTGGCCATGTGGTCATGGTCAGCAGAAAGTGGTGGTGGCAGATCCCTTCCCAAGTCCTGCCCAAGACCCCCTGGCTCCGTATCTCTTGGAATCAGGGAAAACATTACGTGGCTTGGGAGAATTCCCATGACCTCTCTGAACCTTAGCATCCTGTCCTGTGAAATGAGAAAAGTGGGTGTGTTAGGTTCTGTGTGCCTGAAAGGGATGCGGGAACAAAGGCCAGAGGCTGCAGGAAGCCAGCTTCATCTACTCAAAAGCCCATCTGGCTTGTCCCAATAGGAACAATTTGAGCAGGACCTGGAGGGCCAGCTTGAGGGGGGACTCCACGGAGATACTGCAGACACCTTTGCTTCCTACCTGGGCCCTGGCATTTGCTGGTCTAAGGAGCCCAGGAAATTCCACTTAAGAAATTCCCCCAGTGATAGCTTCACCTCAGGTGGCCTCCTGGAAAAAACAACAATAACAACACTTATTAGAAATGCACAATATTAAGCCGGGGATATAGATCAGTGGTGTAAGCACCTGCCTGGCAAGTGCAAGGTCCTGAGTTCGATCCCTGGTACCGCCAAAAAAAAAAAAAAAAAGAAAAAAAAAAAGAAATGCAAAATAGTCTCAGCCAAAGCAGATTGCCAAATCCAAAAGTATAGGGGAAAACATGAAGGTTTGAGTTACAGATTATGGCTCTGGGAAGGAACGGTTCAGCAACTGTTAACAGCTTTTAATTGTAAGACCTGACTGGGTAAGGAGGTGAGCTGCCCCAGGACAATGCAGCAAAACCCATAAAAAGAGATGAGAAGGGTGTGGCTTCCCAGCTCCACAGTTACCTCAGGATGCCCCACTCCCAGCTGAGAAGCATAATCTGCTTTTCAGACTGCTCCAGGAGCCGCAGGTCTGGGCTAAGTCGGTCACATATGGGAAATTGTTTTATATTAATAAAATATGAGTCTGCAGCCTGCTAAAGAGCAGAGGGAAGGTCATAAAACCCTGCTGATCCAGGTTTCTGCCTCCCTGCTCTGCTGGCTGTGGTGCGTGGGGTCATCTCAGGTTTTCCCGAGGTTTTCTTGGATCCTCTCCTGTGTATCTTTTCAATAGATGATCACATCCCCCCCCTTGCAGAGGCTGAGGACATTGCACCGTCTCCCCTTGAATCCTCAGAAAGAGCCTGTTCCAGGTGGGCAGGGGCTGCTGAACCTGTTTGCAGCCAGAAATTGCAGCACAGAGGCGGAGGAAGAACAAGGGCAACAGCACCTACTTCCCAGCCTCTGCTCTTGCCTGCTTCCCACTCCACCTTGAAGCTAGGTGTCAGTGTAGCAGAAGCTCAGAATCCTGCTGCTGCTAAGACTTTACACCCAGGGTAAAGCCACTGAGCTCCCAGTGGTAGCCGACACAGATGAGTCCGCCCTGAGACTGAGCCCTTGGAGTCTGGAGAGCTGCCACAGAAGGGAATGTGGCCCCTGAGTCACTCCTCCTCTGTCCTCAATCCCGATCCAGCTTTCCCTGGTGGCTTGGGGCCATGAGCTGCCCACAGGCCCAGCCTGGCAGCCTCCCTGGCCTCATGCCTACCAGTTCCTTAGGCTACGGCCCTGCTTCCTGTGGCCAAGTGTGGGAAGAGCACTTGCCCAGTCAGGCACCAGCAGGCTGCTTTTGGCTCGAGGACACCAATGTGTGCTCCCTTCTCACATTTCACAGACCGGAAGACTGAGCCCCAGAGTGGTCAGGGGCTGGCCCCATCCTCATGCAGAGGCACCCCTTCTACTTCGCACCACGGTGCTTCTCCCAGGGCACCACCCAGCCATTAAGCAGGGAGCCCCTTGTGAGAGGTATACATTTGGGTCAAGTCCCCCTGTTAGGTGACACACAATCACAGGAGGGCATCCTCAAGCCTTAGTGATTGGTCTCCTCTCTCCTGCCAGAAAGAGCCCTGCACCATGTCACACTGTCACACATGAGGAAGCACAAACCAGCTTGACAGTGAAGTGCTGCCTAGTCCTCCCTACCCTCTGTTCATTGAGCACTCACAGGGCCTCTCCATGTGAGGGACAAGGGCTAGATTACACTTGCTTCACTTAATTTACCTGGATGTCCCAGAGAAGGGGCCATGACAGGGTCCTCAGCCACATCTAGACCTTCTCAGTCTAGGAAAGCCTGAGTACCAGCCAGACAGGGTAGGATCAGGCAGGGCAGGGCACCCGGGGCCCAGAAGCAGCACGAGCCAAGGAACAGAGGAGAGACATTCCATGGTGAAGGCTGCAAGCGGGATGTTTGAAGTAGCAGAGAAAAGAGAGGAGGCAGCAGGGGATGAGTCAGGAGATGACGGTGTCTTCAGCTGTCCTGCTCTGGCCGCCCCCTCCCAGGGGAGTGGGGAGCTATCTGGGGCTTTAGGAGATTGGCCCAGTCCCACATGCAGCCTGCCTGCCTCTGCACAGACCCGCTCCATGGGCACGCCTGATCCTGCTGCCCTGTGCCTGCTCAGCAGCACCCTCCAGCTGTGGCCATGGGAGCCAGGCACCATCCGGGTCTCTCCGTTCTTCATGGCCAGGTCCCACCCCATTGGCTCCTCCCCAGTCCTCCTGGAGCTCATGCCTTCTGTCTGCTCCAATTTTTGCACACTCTCCTGTTCCAGAGCTCTTTCTGGGGTGAGACTTGATCGTGGATAGGCACTGTCGGCTGCAGGGCTAATTTCCCATATGGCAGCCTCCTCTCAACCCTATCCCTAGTTCTCCCTGTCTTTCCCCTCTGTGTTTGGTCCCTTTCTCTGGGCAGTTGTCTTGTTTTATTGCGTCTTTGTTTTTACTCTCTGGATGACTATGCCTGGTAGCCTAGCACAAGCTAAGGTCTGCCTCAGTTTTCCCACCTGGGAAATGAGCCCAATGGTGCATTCCTCACAGGATGATGGGAAGATGAAATTAAAACAACTTCTGTGGTGTGTTGCTTATTGTTCCATGATGGACACCCAAGAGAAAGGGAACTGAGGGCATAGTCTCCACACACTCCCCCACTTTCCACTTTCCCATTCTTTTTCTTCCTCTATCCTTCTCCAGAGGAGTTACAGACATTCTGCTGGCCTTCCACTCCTCAGCCCTCCACTCCGCCCCCTGAATGGAAATGAGTTCTTCCCAAGTCTCTTTCAGTTCCCCTATGCCTCCAGTGCTAGTCGTGGAGCACAGGAGCAGCACGCACAGGAGCAGCACGTGTCCTTCTGTGTGGTCCTCAGCAGCTGTCCCCCTCCATAGGAGCCCCAGGCCAAAAGGCTGTGCTCTGTGGATGACTCTGGCACTTGCCACTGGTCCACTGGCCACCAGAGCAGAAGGAGGGTCTTTGAGCCCCATTCCCCCCTCCCCCACCCCACTCCTTTGAATTTATTGATCCCAATTTGCTCAACTTAAACTCCCTTTCTCGGATCCCCATAGTACTCTGGGTCTGACCTGAGTTAAGGCTCCTCCTCCTCCCCCTGGCTTTCACGAAGACCCAGCATTATTTACCACATTTGTCACTGGGCAATAAAATCCTCTGAACTCCTTGCCACCAGATTGTCTTTTTAAAGAAACACAACCCATTTACAGTTAATAAACAGCGACCCTATCTTCTGCAGCTGCTAAGGCAAGATGACGCCTGGCCCCAGGGCACTTACCTCAAGGCCAGAAGTGTCCTGTGCACTGCAGGCTGTGTCCACTTAGCCCCACTGGGGTTCAGGGGTAGCAGGTTAGATGTCAGCTCCCACAACCCCCAAGTCCCGGCCATCAACGCCTGCATCTAAGATGTGCCCACTGGGTTCCTCCACAATTGGTGCAGATAGAGTTGACACGCTTGTCTTCTTCCCCTGCACAGACCATGTCTCTGTTGGAGGACTTGGCGATAGTTTTTATGAATATTTGATCAAATCCTGGTTGATGTCTGCCAAGACAGATATGGAGGCTAAAAATATGTACTACGAAGCCTTGGAGGTAAGACACTCACTTGGTTCCTCGTGGGTGGCTGGTCATTAGCCATGGCCCCAGAATGCTTGGGGGCAGTGAGGGTGGGAGTCACAGAGACCAGCTGGGCCCCCAGGGTGGGCTGGGGAAATGGCGAGGCACACCTTCCCAACCAGCACTTTCCACTGGCTCCTCCTGTGTCAGTGTCCTCAGAAAACCTACACAGAGGAGGTTAAGTCATTTGTCCGGGGTCACAGTCATGGAAGAAAGTGACAGTCAATCTGACTTAGAAACTAGGATTCCAAAATCCACCCACTCCCTGCACAGAAACTGAGCTTCGCTTAATGCACCAGCAGGCTGTGGCTAGGAGCAGGCTGTGAAGTGAGCCCCTCGTCTGTCTTCCTGCTACCATAGAGGCAATACAATTAGCACGGCCAAGCTGCTGCTCCTTCTCTCTATGTGGACAGAGAGGACAAGGCATTGGTTCAAGGCCACACAGCACAGGACTGACAGGGCTGGCACCACTGCTGGTCTGTCCACAGAGTGGGATGCACAAGGGTGGTGGGCTGAAAGAGTCCCTCCAGAATAGAGCAGAAGTGGGAGTCAGTGAGCCCAGGCCGCGAAGAAGAGGGTTAGGGAATTCCCCAGCTCTTTCAGCTACTCGGAGCCCAGGTAATAAAAGGGCCCAGGGCGGCCTTTGAGCCTCAGTTTCCCCATAAAGTTAATTAAGCAAATTGGATCTGTTTTGGCACAACCTCGAGCTAAACTACCACCTCAGTCCTCTAAACTGAGCTTCTTCCCTTCTGCCCAACCCTCTCCATTGTCACTCTACACCGCAGCCAGCAGAGCCAGAAAGGCACAACCTCTCCTCATCATTTCACTTAGTGCCCAGGGGTACACTAGATCCCTGTCCTTTACTCCCCAAGCCCTCCCTGGCTGGGCCCCTGCTGATCACCATGACTCCACCTCTTCGCTCTTTTCTCTTTACTTCCTTAAATGTACCAAGCTTATTCTCACATTAGGGCCTTTGCATTTGCTGTCCCCTCTGCCCGCAGTGTCATTCAGATAGCTGAGTTCCTCCCATCAGTCAGCTCTCAACTCAAACACTACTGCAATTACCCCTCCTGGCCCCTTTGTCACATACTCCAGTATTCTCTTCTTCCACTATAACAGTATCTAGGACTGTGCAATGTGAGTCGCCTAGGTTCAAGGATCTTGTCTGCTAGTTCACCCTGTATGCTTCACTCCTGAACACTGTCCAGCACACAGTAGGTACACAACAACTATTGTATGAACAAATGAAGGCTGAATGGGTGGGTGAATGGGAGGAAAGATATGTGAATGGGAAGGGTGAAAGGGAGGATGGATATACAAGCGTAGATGAGTGAGTGGGTACATGAGACCAGGGAAAGGATGGGCATATTGGGTGGATGGATGTGAAGTTTGATGGCTAGATGGATGGATAAGTATATGAGCTGGCAGATGTGTGGGTGGATAGATAAGCACAGACAGATGGATGGAAGACCTCTTTGGTACCTCTCTATTATATAAAACTGCCCAGGAAGAGGGAAACCACCCCCCTTTTTTTTTTTTTTTGTGGAGCCGGGGCTTGAACTCAGACCCTTGCACTTGCCAGGGAAGCGCTTATCCTACTGAGCCATCTCCCCAGCCCCTCCCCTTTTTTTTTGTACCAGGAACTTGTGCTTACCAAGCAGGCACTTATGCCACTGAACTATCTCTTGGGCCCTAGAGTGCTTAAAGAAACACATTGAAATGGACATCCAAAGTTGTAGACTTTTCTGGGCATGTCCAACCTGCATCCCACAGGCCACTTGCCTCCCCTTTTTTAGATGTTATAACAATTTTAAAATAAAGTTTTGTAGGGCCAGCCAGATAGCTCAGCAGACTAAAGCGCCTGCTTAGGCAGAGCGCAGGGGCCCGGGTTTGATCCCTAGCACCCCAAGTCATACCAGCCCTGCCCCCGGGGTGCGCTGAGATGGTGATTGAGACTGGGCATGGTGGCATGTGCTTGTAATCCCAGCACTTGGGAGGCTGAAAACAGGAGGATCTCTATGAGTCCTACCTATGTAGTGAGACCCTGTAGACCCTGTACTAAATACATTAAAAAATAAAAATAAAGTTTTGTTACTTTGGTACCTTAACTATATTTTAATATAAAGATGATTCCTCCCTGCTCGTGCAGTCCAGGCACGCCAGAGTACTGGACATGCCTGTGACCTCAAGAGCTTTCCCCACCCAGGTCCCCAGCGTGAGACCTCGGTCCTGAAGGAGTATGGGACTCCAGTCTCAGCTCAGCCCCTGCGTGCCTTGGGCTGAGCTTCGAGCGAGGCCAGTGCCCCCTGCCAGAGGAGAGCCTCAGCCCTGTCTGCTGTTCCTTGCAGAGTAAACTTGAAGTTCACCAGTGGCTGATTCCTGCCCTCAGGGCACACTATAGTTGAGGCTTCAAGAGGAGAAATGGCCATGAATTATTTAAGCAGCCAGGAGCTTCACAGAAAGCACTTGATTGAACAGGAGAGGACTCGGCTTCACTCCCACATATGAGCTCCCCGGTGAGGACCCTGGAGCCGCTCTGACCCTGGGTAAAGGCTGGGCCTCGGGCAAGTTTGGGGCTTTGAAGAATGTTATGGTGGTTCTCACCCTTGTCAGCATGTTAAAAATCACCAGGGGAACTGTCAGATCCTGTCTCCAGGCTGCAGTCCTGCTAAGTTACACCAGAACCTCTAGGGGGGGACCCAGGAATAGTGTTTTAAAGCTCCCTGGAAATTCCAGTGTGCAGTCAGGGAGCAGGTTAGACCTGGGTCCAGTAGCTGTGGGTGAGGGAGGTAGGCAGTCCCGACTGCACATGGAAGGGGCTATCAGAACAGGGAGGGCTTTGGGCACTGCAGCCTCCTCTGGGCTGGTGCTCTGTGCCCTTGGCCATAAAGTTCTACCTCGCAGATGATGAAAGCAAGGCTCAGGAAAGCCCGGAGTTACACAGCAGCAAGAGCAGCAAGACCAGGATGCAAACACCAGTCACTGGCTCTAAGCGTCTCGAGGAGGCTGGCCAGCCTGAAGTCCCTCCCAGGCGGCCTCTGATGCTCTTCTCAAGGGAAAAAAGAGCAGCAGGACCAGGCACCAAGCCACGACTTTCAGTGCTCTCTCCTTTTACCCTCACAACCATCCCAAGAATGATTATTCCCATTTTACAGATAAGCAAAGTGGGTCTTCCAAACACAGACATAACTTGCCCAGAGTCACCCCGATCTTAACTGGCAAAGCTGAGACTCAAGCCTGGGTCCCCGCTGCTTCCTCAGCCCCTCCACATCTTACCTGCCGCTCACCAGCCTGTGCTGTCCTGTGCTTTGCTCAAGGCGTACAAAAGCCTTGGTTTTATCTTCACATCTGCTCACTGGAGTGTATCTTCAAAGAGTCACTAGTCTATAATTTCCTATTTACTACAATTACTTAGCTCGGGGCTAACCCTACATGGAAATAACCAGTGGGAGGCAGTTTGAAAGGTACAGATTTCTAGCTCCAGTGCATGGATTCTCTTGCAGATGTCTGTGTGCTCACATCCCAAATGTTTACAGCTGGTAACTCAGAGCCAGCTTTTGGGCCCACGGCTCACCTGGGTCCCCACTCTGAGCCCAAGATAGCCAGGCAGACCCTGCCCAGGAGCCAGGGTCAGGACAGAGCTGGCCAGCCTGGCAACTGGTGGCTATCCATGCTGCCTCTGCACACTCCCAAGCAGAGCAGGTGCCCTGGCCTGTCACCTCATCAGCTGTTCCCCAGCTGCTACTCAGCAAGGGCCCCAAAGCCAGCATCCCCCACTCCAGCCCTGGACCCCAGGAAGAGAGGGAAATAAAAATACAGAGCAGAGAAGTGGAGGCCGGTTCCAACCTCATTCTGCAGAGCAGGGCACCCCATTTTTCTCTCTTCCGCTCAGTTTCCTTCAGAATGCATGCTGCTTTCCAGGTGTTACCATCACATGTATGTGATCATGTTGGGCGGTGTCTGCAGACATAGGGAGCTCTCCGAGCACCACTCACTGCATCCCAGAAAACACTCACAGGAAACTGACAGGAGAGGGGATGTGAATGGAAAGGCCAGTGTGGCTGGAGTTAGATATGGTGAGGATCAGACTGCGGAGGACTCATAGTGACCAGCAATTATGGGGGCCCCTCTGTGATAGGAAATAAGCCTTGTTCTGTGCAGTTACGTCCCTTAATTCCCCTTTGAGGTAGCTGACACTCTTATCCCCATGTTAAACATGAACGAAGATACAGAGACTAGTGGCAAAAAGATTTGAACCCCCAGAGTCTGCACCCAGAAGCCATCTCTGTAACATCGAGGTACACCTTGCAGTCCAGATGATGGTGTCCTGGAGGACCTGCTGGACCTTTCCCCAAGGGCACCGGGAGCCCCAGACATCCAAAGCAGACTCATGACAAGGTCCAACTGTTCAGCATACAGAACCCTCCATCCCAGTAGACTGGAGGGCAGGAATACAGGCAGAGGCCTGCCGAGAACCCCACAGCACTGCAGTCATAACCAAGAGTGACAGACCTGTCAAGTCTGGCCTTGTGGCTGTGAGTAGCCACCTCTGTCACCTCAGTCCCCAAGGCTCCTAACTGACTGACACCCGCACACCCCAGTATCCCGGAATCCCCATCAGTAGCATCCACCCCCTTGGAAGCCCATCCTACCAAAACAGCCAGGCGTGGGTAGTTGAAGAGTGTCTGGGGGTCCTGGTCCTTGCCCTGGTGGGTCTGGGTGACCGAGGACAAGCCACTCCACCCCCTTGTACTGGGCACCAAAGCCCATGTGCCAGGCATTCAAGGAGGAAGTAAGTGATAGGTAGCTTCATTTTCTGCTTGTCCTTTTTGAAAACCTGGTAAGACGTGTAGGCTCTCTTCCTGCAAATCTGCATATCCACGGAAGTGTCAAGGCCAGTTTTAGGGGTGTCCTGGCTCCCTGAAGCCCATTCACAGGCCAACTGAGCTTCAGGCTAAAAGGATGCAGAAGAGGAGGAGAATCGTCTTAAGATTTTTTTTTTAAAACTTAGAACAGAAAAAAGGCTGTGTAAGAGACTCACACCAGGGAGAAACCTTAGATCCTTTCTCCCAGTGGCGATGGGCCACAGACTGGGTGTCAGGACTTCTGCTGACCCTGCCAGAGACCTCGGCCAGCAGAGACCAGAGGGCTTCTGTGCCAGGGACAGGGGGCTCTTTGGAGCCACCCTTACTACCGTCTCCAGAACGTTCATTTCCGTCCTTTCCCTCCCTTCTCTGTGCCCTCCATGCCCCCACCCCACCTGCTCCCAGGCGATAGAGACCTACTTGCTGAATGTCTCTCCTGGGGGGCTGACCTACATCGCCGAGTGGCGAGGGGGGATTCTGGACCACAAGATGGGGCACCTGGCCTGTTTCTCAGGGGGAATGATCTCCCTCGGCGCTGAGGATGCCAAGGAAGAAAAGAGGGCCCACTACCAAGAGCTGGCAGCCCAGATCACCAGGACGTGCCACGAGTCATACGCCCGCTCAGGTAACCCTGCAGGGGATGGGGCAGCAGCAGAGCCCAAGGCTAGATGCCAGGGAACACTGCAAAGGCCAGCAGGGCAGCAGCGAGTGGAAGGGAGCCCGTGGTCCCAGCACAGCCTCACCTGGGTAGCAGCACGGAGGTGCAGTGAGGGGACGTGTCGGCCACACCCTGAGGCTGGACCCCATTGAAAGGAACAGTGAAGGGGTCATCAGCATTCTACCCGCATCAGTGCTGTTCGCCGCTTGACACACATCACAGCCTTACAGCACACATGGGGAAACTGAGGCTCAGAGATGACTGGGCCAGGGTCCTGTAAGAGTAGCAAAGAGCACAGTCCTCTAGACCCTGAAGCACAACCATTGGCATCCAAAGCCTAGCAAATTGCTTTACTCTGAAATGTACTCTCACAAATAATAAATAAATAAATAAAATGCACCTTCCCCACCCACACTCCTCGCCCCTCCATACAGGGTCTCCCTATTTCCCGGTACCATGTGTCCACTCACCCTTTTGACCCAAGGCCACCAGAAAGTTTTGAGCTCCTCGGTCACTCCCCACGGCCAGCACTCACCAAATATCTGACCCCTACAGGCTCAGAAGTCACCTTAGTAAGAGCCCAGTTCCTTGTTTTATACCCACAGAAAGTGAGTCGCCCCTGAGAGGGGAAACACCTTAGCCAACATCAGACCAAGCGTGAGCAGCGGAGCCTGGTTTAGGACCAGGTCTCCTGAGGCCCATTTCCACCTCTATGCTGCCCTGCCGAAAGGTCCCTCCCCAAACCCTTGCCCCCGGGGGACGTCTGCTGCTCGGAACTGTAACTGCAGTGTCCAATGGAGAAGACTCCTGCTCAAGTGCCACTGCACCACCTCCAGCGGTGCGGCCTCTATTTTCTTATCTCTTCAATGGGAAGGAAAACCTGGGCCCCGCGGAAGCCGTGAGAAAGCCTTGAGCCCACAGCGCAGCGCCTCAGCGTGGCCACGCGTGGCCATGTGTGCGCCTGCGCCGCTGTTGGAGCTGCTGCTTGGAGCTGTGCCAGAAAGTCAGAGATTCGCAACGGGCCCTTAAAACGGGTCTCCCATTCTCTAAATGGAGCTTGCTCTGCCAAGGCCATAAACAAATAGGAAATCTCAGGAATAATAAAAAGCTAGCCATTTGTCTGGGACAATCAGCACAGGCCATAAAAGACAGCCTCTTAATAGAGCATATTGTTCCACTGGCCCGGCTGGTCTGTAGACGGCTGCGGCAGCGGCTGCTGCCCTCAACTCCATTGCTGCCCTCGCCCCATTAGCAACTTGGCTAAACTTTTGGCTAAATGACTGTTGCCTGATGACCTGGAGTTGGCTTGGCCATTTGAAAAGATGGGAGGGACTCGCTCAGGCTGAGGGGGCCTCCTGCAGGAAGTCCAGTGCAGGGTCAACAGTAGGGGGCCCTCCTGGAAGGATTCAACCCTAATCGGGGGATTAGGAGGAGATCTGGGTGTTCAGCTGGCCTGGAGAAGATGGGCAGAGGGAGAAAGAACTGACCCAGGGACCCTAGAATTTGGACCTAGAGAATTAGACTTAGGACTGGGAGAGAGCACAGCCCAGGGGGAAAAGAACATGGGACAGATCAGGGATATCTTCCAGATCAGCCACAGCCTGCTGTGTTGCCTTGGATAAATAGCCTCTCTGATCCTCAGTTTCCACATTATTAGGGTCAATAGCATCCACCTTAGCAAAAATCATTTGTTTACTATTGAACTAATGTAAAGTACCTAGCCCAGCCCTCGAAGCTGCAAATGGTAGCTGTGCAGGTAATTGTCAGTAGTCACGCAGAAAAGAAAAACGGCAACCATGTCCTAAAAGCAAATCAGTGACAACAAAATCCAGGCTTCATCAAGCCTCCTTTACCCGGCACCCTCTGTCTGAGTAGGTGTTGTCTCAGGCATCTTGCCTCCTTCTCTACCTTAGCAGTTTCCTGAAGTGTTAGCTTTGGAAGTCTTCATCTATAAGGTGTTAAAAGCAGTTTCCAAAGGAAAGGGTCTGTGGAGAAGCATCTGCCCATGTTGTCATATTAAAGGATCTGATAAGTTCTGCAAGCCGGACTGTTTAATCCACTGTTCTCCAAGTGTGCTCCACCCTGAAGCCCTGCCTTGACTGAGTCCTCGTTGATGTCTTATAGAGAACTTATTTCCCAGAATGCGTAGCTGGCACACACTGCCCATGCCTTTGTCTTTCCTCACTGCAGAGTATCTTATTCAGATTCTGAGTCCAAATCTGCAGAGCTCATGAAGCCTCAGGAGTCTTGCTTTGGCCCATCTAAACTGAGAGGGAAGCTGGGGCCCTGCGCACCATAGCCTTATGGGAGATTCAGCGGGGCCTGCCCCACACCAGTGCACCATTACCTTCCAGAGCCCCTCCTGAGGCAGCTGATCTTCAAAACAGGAGGTACAGGTCTGACCAGGTCCCCTTTTGGCCATTCCCAGACACCAAACTCGGGCCCGAGGCCTTCTGGTTCAATTCTGGCAGAGAGGCGGTAGCCACCCAGCTCAGCGAGAGCTACTACATCCTGCGGCCTGAGGTAGTCGAGAGCTACATGTACCTGTGGAGGCAGACACACGACCCCACTTACAGAGAGTGGGGCTGGGACGTGGTAATGGTGAGTGGCTGGGCCCCAGAGCCCCTGGCTCAGGCATCGGGGGAAGAGGGGTCAGGCAGAAGCTGCAGAGTTGAGAGCCCCAGCAGAGGCTGAGCAGGCTGGAACTGGTTAACTGTGACCCATTGCCCATGGCCTTGCAGATTGGGACAGCTGTCAACAAACTCACAGGGCCAGGGCTAGGCAGTCCTAGAGCGCCACCTGGCCCTGCCATCCCAGCAGACATGCTCCTGGTCTGGGGCTGGACAAGCAGCTTGAAAAGCCACCTGTGATACAAGACTGGCTGCTGGGCTGGCAGCCCCAATGGTCCTCTCGTCACAGCCTGTCCAGCTCTAGGTAGCCCCTGACCACCTTGCTAGAAATTCCAAGGCCTTCCTTAGGGTTAAAGGGGTGTCAAAGGTAAGGGTAGGGATTCCAGAAGATTCCTTGATGGAGGCTGAGCCTTCTCTGTCCTGCTTCCTGGAAGCACCTGTGCCTTCCCAAAGGCTGACAAGGTACCACTTGTTCTCAGGGCACAAGCAACTGTCCTGGGAGGTCCACATGTGGGGAGTGGGGGAAGGGGGCTGCTCAGATGCAGTCTTGGCTCACTGCCTAGTGCACCTGCCTCACTGATGCTCTCAGTCTTGGCCTTCAAAGCTTACATGCCATGTGCCCAGACTTGTCAGTGGACAAAAATTGCGCTTCTGAAGCCTACACACCTCTGGCCAGGGACTCCTCTGTTGGTGAGCTCAGCCACTAGTGGGCTAAGACCTGGGAGACCTTTCCCCACCTGCTGACACTGCTGCTTTTTCACAGGCCTTGGAGAAGTACTGCCGGACAGATGCCGGCTTCTCCGGGATCCAGGATGTGTACAGCAGCAGCCCCAACCATGACAACAAACAGCAGAGCTTCTTTCTAGCCGAGACACTGAAGTAAGTACAGGCCTGGTCCTTGTCCTATCTGGTGGCAGAATGGCTCCTCCTGGGACAGAGTGGGGGTCCGGAGGGCTGCACCCCAGAGCTGTACTTACCCTGGCCCTTTGTCCCCTCACAGAGTGAGGCTGAGCTGGGGTCCAGCCCCTCAGTACTGACAGTGTAACCCTGTGGCTGTTTAAGCCTGTGTCTCAGGTTCCTGGGTTTCCTGGAACCCTGGCCTCCTCTGTAAAATGGGAATAATAATGACGATGGTGATACCCACATGGGTCACTGTGGTTGACTTTCCTACCTATGGCTCTGCAGCATGGCTCCTTGGTTTTTTTTCCTGGGGTGAAAGATAGTATCCTATTTTCTTGCTGCTCCCCCAAAGCAAGCCCTTGGGCTTTCCCTTTTCCTCCCAGAAAAGTCCTTTGCCCCAAAGCTAGAGTCCAGGAGTCCAAGCCCCAGCAGTGTAGTGCCCTAATGTACACCGTAAAGTGGAATCTCAGGAATACATGTCAGAGTTTGGATGGGGCAGCTCTCCGGCCATCTTGCAAAGAGAGTTGGGGTCCTCTAAGGTCCTAGCAGGGCTCCCTAAAGGCCTAGGCAGGTGAGGTTGCAGGATGTGAAGAGGGAGGGCCCAGACAGAGGCAGGACTAAGCAGGTGCCTCTCGTCTCAGCACTCAGTGCTGTCCTGGCCGTCCATACTGTCCTTTGCTGGAAGCAGTCTCTGGAGCAGTTGTCAGGTCGTGGCCCCCCTGCCTTCGCCATAGGCTGATCTCAGGCCCTGAGACTCCCTGGCCCACCGTCTCCCAACACTGAAGGCTGTGTCTTGCTCCCTGCCTCCCGGCTACAGATACCTCTATCTTCTGTTCTCTGAAGATGACACGCTCTCACTGGAAGACTGGGTGTTCAACACCGAGGCCCACCCACTGCCCGTGAACCACTCGGCCAGCCCCAGCCAGGCCTGGCCCCGACACTGACCCTGGCCCCTGCCACTTGGGTGCCTCAGGGATGCCTTGCCTTTTCAGGATTCGGGGCTGTTCCCAAAGGGATTGGGAACGCAGGCCCCATCCTGGGCAGACCCTGGACAGATGTGTCAGACAAGCCACTTCTTTTCCTCTATGAGGAGACAGGACTTGGAGATGCAGCGATGTCATACAAGGGCCACAGTCTCGCCAGGCCCACGCATTCCTTTCTACAGAGAATTTCTATGAAACCCACTCACTTGCCATTCCAGGGCCAAAGGACCAGAGGTTTGCATATCGATTCTAGGTGTTTGATTTACTTCCTTTTGGTTTGGGGATTTTTGGTTTTACTTGATTTTGCCTTTTCTTCACAGTTGAGTTTTATTACTATTTTAAATATAGTTTTCAAAAATCATGTGTTTTCTAAAATGGAGCCATCCTAATAAAGGAAACTTTAAAGTGTTTGTATACACACAGCCCTGACCCTATTATCTATATTTTTAATACTTTTTGCCCAATATTTCTTCTACATTCATTTACATGGCATTTACCATATAATTTGAGGAGGGGCTCCCCTTTGATTTGGGCCTCAGTGTTACAAATCACTAGTGCTATTTTCATTATTGTAATGGAAAAGTATGTGAAGTAGAATAAAAGAGTTTATTGAATAAGAAATAAGATTGGGCTCGTTGCACACCAGTGACTCCTCGGGAAACCACTGCAATGTGATCATCAGAAAGAAGAACCAACTGGCAGTTGATTTATTTAAGGTGTAATTTACTAAACAATTCCAAATTCTATTACTCCCCATTCAGTTGCCTAATATATTCAGGAAGTGTGAGGCCAATCCACTAGATGTGGAGCTGGAGGTTTACACTCAGGTTGAGGCTTCGGAGAAGCCCAGAGAGGAGCCACAACTTGCCTAACCCACGCAGCCAGTAGAAGGCATGAGCCTGCCCCCGGGCTTCCTGGCCACCAGAGTCCTTTGTTTGTCTTCTCCATCACTCAACAGGTGCTTGGGGAGCACCTACAGTGGACCAGATGCTGGGCTGAAAGCCAGGGACACAGCTAAGAGTGACTGATAGTTCTAGGCCCTGCAGTCCAGGGAGACAGATGAGAGGATGTGGGCACATGTTGAGGAGATGCTACAGTGCAGACGACAGATGGGGCTGAGCCAGCCAAGGCCAGGATCTTTCTTAGGGGTCAAGGAGGACTTCTCTGGGCAGGTGACCTTCAAGCCAAGACCTAGTTGAGCAGCAGGAAGAGTATCCAGCAGCGGGATGAGCATCCCCCAAGCCTAGAACCTCTTCCTCCACTGCCTGATTGGGGGCCTGAAACCAGAGGCCAACCCCAGAGCAGGGCCCACCCCCATCCCCACGTGGCACTTATCCACGCTGCTGAAGTCCCAGGACAATGCTGAGCCCTTCCCCTTGCTCGGCTGCTTCCTTCTGGCTCTGTTCCTGAGCTTCAGTAGCCCTTGGGGTGTGGGGCTCTGGGCTGGCGACCAGCTTTTAAGTCCTTGCTGTGTGTGAACTCAGGCAGCTCACCCCACCTCCCTGGACTCTTCATCAAGGTTACTGTGATAATAAGTGGGTTGCTCCTAGTGCTCTGGGGGTGCAGAAGCCATTGCTGCTTCCTTGTTGTGGAGGCTTGGACACCCCCAGACCTCCTTGAGCAGATCTGTGGGTGCATAGCCCCTGTTACAGGAATCCTAGCATTCGATACATAAGTCTCTGAACACTGGCTGGGCATCAGGGACATGGGTTTCTACAATCCCCCGCATACACTTAACACAAAAAATTACTGCACAAACATGGCAGGAAGATTAGGAAGTTGAGATAAGCAGAAAAATAATCATTTTGCCATCCTACTTTCTGGAATGAATACTGTTATATTTTATTCTACATCTTTTTCTATGAATATATAGAAATATATATTTTGCAAACACAGTATCATCCTATACATACTGTTTTCTTATAATCTGCTTTTGCATTTAACTATATATTGTGAATCTCTTTCTGTGTCAACAAATATACATTTGTGTCATCGCTGTACCTGGTTGTGTAGTATTCCATTGTGTGCTGTATCATATTTCATTGATCTAAGCCCCTGTTGCTGGGCATTTGGGTTGATGTCAGTTTGACATCTTAGTTACAGATAATGGAAAACAAATTACTTCTCTATAAGAAAAAAAAAAGGATTTATTGTAATGCTATGGCATGGCTCTCAGAATCTCAGGAAAGAGTAAACAACCAGATCTCAAGAAGGACAGGAAGGCACACTTGGTGGTACGTCCCTGTAATCCCAGAACTCTGGAAGGCTGAGACTGAAAGATAGTTAGCTTGAGTATATCCTATGTAACTTAATAGCCTAGCAAGAGCCTGTCTCAAAATAAAAAATTTTAAAAGCACTGGAGATTTAGCTTAGTGCGCATCCCCAGTACTGGAGGTAGGGAGAGAGAAAAGACAAAAGAGAAGGGGAAGAGGAGAGAGAAAGAAACAGAGAGAGAGAAGGGGGAAGAGAAGAGGGGAAGGGAGGGGAGGGAAGGGGCAAGGGAGAGAAGAGAAGCCAGAAAGAGGATTTGGTGGCCATGGACACTGCAAGAACAAGAAAGTGGCCTCCTTGGGCCATCAGCATTGCTGAATCCAAAGTTTCCAAACTGTACTGTATCTCCTTTCCACGTACCCAGCCAGCATCATATGCTTGTCCCTAGCCAGAGGCAGGGCCAACATTTTGATAGACATACCCCCCGTGATCCTGTGCAGTAGGCGACAGGCTATTCCCATGAGGAAAAATTAGGTCTGGTTCCAAATGAAGCGGGTACATGCTGGAGAGGCAAACAGCTGGCGTGTCGTGGTCTGCTTCCATCGTGCCTGTATCATACAGTTATCATAGAGCTAAAACTCAGTATATTAACCTCTATTCACCCTTGTCCAGTAATTTCCTTAGTACTCCCTTCTGGAATCTGTCTCCTCTCAAAGCCATTGTGCAGGGGCTGGTGAGATGGCTCAGTGGTCTAAAGCACCTACTTAGAACAAGCTAAGCAAAGCACAGGGACCACAGTTCAATCCCCCAGCACCACATGCCAGCCAGCCCCTCCCCCTGGTGGGCTGAGCTGGCCACACACACATAAATAAATAAATAAAAATTAAAAAAAAAAATCCATTGTGCAGTCTCACAAGGCCCCAGGCTCCCTGCAGGCCTGTGTCACTGTCCCTGTCCCTCCTCCCTAGCATCATTGTCTTCTGCTTTGTGGCTGGGAGCAACTTGTAAAAATGAATATTTTAAAAGTTGTCCTCCAGGAGGGCCCTTGCAGGTGGAGAAGTGTCATCCTTTTGGCAATTTAACTCCATGCCAGGGATAAAAATAAGCTAGGCCCTAGGTAGGCTGAGCAGAGAGAGGCAGGAAGAGCTGAGTCATCCACCCTGAAGGTAGGAGAGAGCTGTACGCTCAGCCTCCAAACTCCAGCCTCTCCTGCAGCCGCCTCTCCTTCCCAGGCAGTTCAGCACAGCTGCTGGCCTCATTTGAAGCCCAGGATGGAGCTACCTTCTCAGCTGCTCTCTTCTTCGATGGGCTGGATGCTGGCTCCTTTGCCAAAACCTTCATGGCCACCTGACGTAAGGCACTGAGCCCTGCTGGGCGGCACACCCCTGGGGAGAGGCCAGTCCTGTTCCAGGTGCCTCTCTTTAAACAATTGCATGTGTTTTCAGACCCACAACATGCAATAGGAAGAAAAGTAAAGCTGTCAACTCTGATGCAAAGCATTGCAAGGTCGGGGTGTGATTCTCAATGGGGCAGAACAGCACACACATGGAATCTCAGCCACTAGGGAAGCAGAGGCAGGCAGATTGAGAGTTCAAGTCCAGCCTGGGCAACTAACTTAGCAAGACCATTTCAGAATACAGGAGGTGGGGGGAGGAGGGAGAAGGGAGAAGGGAGAAGGGAGAGGAGGGAAAAGGAATGAGCTTTCCTTCTCCCTTTGCCTCCAGAGGTAACAAGCCCACGGGAAGGCAGGGGGCTGGGTAGCTAGCTCCCCAGCTTCTCCAGGGGTCTGGCCTTGGAAGTCTCCATTGCCCCAGTGGCACAGAGCCCTGGGCCCTCAGTGACTAAGGCTTACTCATGCTGCCCGGGATGGGCTACGGAGGCTACTGCTCGCCTCTGGAAATATGTTTGGTTTCCTATATTTGGAGCTGTAGTTTGATCCTGCTCAGCCTGTCTCTTAAGCCAGAGCTTCTCAAACTTGAACGCTTACATGAATCTCCTGGGGACCTTGTTAAAATGCAGGTTCGCATCCAGCAGGTCTGGCACGGAGCCTGAGGTTCTGCTTTTCTAACAAGCTCCCGGGAGACGCTGGTGCTGCAGTCCCAGGACCACACTGGGAGTACTGAGGCCTCTGAGTGGCTACTCCTTTGCTGTCTGCCCTTTATTCATGTCTCTGGAGCTGAAGCCGATGCAGAGCAGAGGAGAGGGGCTCAGGTGTCCGTGTGCCATCTGTAGGCACACTGGCTGCAGGGGCACTGATCCCAGAACAGGTGTGCCTGCCAGCTGTATCCTTGGGCAAGAAGGAGCAGAGGGTGGAGGCTTGGAACAAAGCTGCTCCACAGGAGGTTCTGCAGATTCGTGCTGTCCAGTAGGGCAGCTGCATGTGGAGATGAAGCTCTTAAAATGTCACAAGTGTGACTGAGGAACTAAATTTTTAATCTTATTTCATTTTAATTAAATTTAAATAGCCACGTGTGGTTCCTGGCTGCTGTTTAGACAGTATAGAATTAGAGCTTTGAATACAAGGGCCCTGCCCAGGCCCAAATGGTTTTCCACCACCGGCATCATGACACAGACAGTCTCAGCACAAAACACATTATGGCCTGCTTGGGCAGATGCAGGGACTGGGATTGGATCCCTGGCACCTTGTCGGCCCCGCCCCCAGGGCACGCTGAGACAGAGATTGAGACTATAATCCCAGCATTTGGGAGGCTGAAAATAGGAAGATCACTACAAGTCCAATCTGTGTAGTGAGACCCCGTAGACTCTACTAAATACATTTAAACACACACACACGTTGTGTGGGGACTCGAGGAGTCCCTCACACATACCTGATTATTCTTGTTTACTCCAGCCCCAGACTGTCTTCTGCACAAGGCCCTCTTTGGTTTGGTCTCAGCTTCTCTTCCCCACAGTTTATCTGCTGATGGGCGTGTAGGTCAGGTCGAAGTTTGAACAAGCAGAGACCAGGCAAGCACAGCCTCTGGAAGCAGCTGGAGCTGCTTTCAGCCCTGCTCGCCCTTTCCCAAGGTGTGTGGCCTCAGAGGAGGCCTTTAACCTCTCTTGAGCTCTGCTTCTCTGTCAGTGGAAATAGAGCGGTTTTCTAGACTTACTGGAGTGCCCACCCCAGTAGGAACTCTATGCCTCATAGCAATGATTGTATCATTACTACGTGAACTTTATAAACTGTGAAACCTTGCATAAATGTAAGGGAAAACCCTGCCATCAGAAATTCTCCTTTTTAAACAAAATGCTCTGGAACAGAAGAAACTACATCAAGCAGGCCCAGGAGACAGCAAACTCTCCAAGCAATAAATCTGAACATTTTCTGCTTTTCACATTGAGCAAGCATTTTGCCATTAGCCCAGAATCTACCGACATTGGGAAATAGGGATGAAGATTTGTTGACTGTC